GTTGACCAGGCTGGTCTAGAACTCCTGACCTTGTGATCCGCCCGCCTTGGCCTCCCAAAGTGCTGGGATTACAGGCGTGAGCCACTGAGCCCGGCCTCATTAATTTTTAAAATTAACCAAAGCCCTAATATATGTTGGCCATCTTAATGTTATCTTTATAAGTAAAACTTAAAAGTTTCCTGTAGCTCATTTTCAAAACTTGAGGCAAAAATTTGAGCCACAAAGCAGATTTGATGAAACTGCAAGAGCAAAGAAGAATATTTAAAAATTCAACAAGTTAATAATTTTATAGCTTCTACATATGCTCCAAGTTAACATAAGAATACTTGGATCACCCAGTTAGAATTTCAAGTGGAGATATACAAACTTAATCCCAGCTGCTGCTGACCTCCATGACAAAGTCACCCAGCCTGGCCCACATCTGAGTCTTCATGCAGACATATCTGGAGGATTGATAAGGGATGTAGTGGGGTTTTGAGCACTCAATCACTGATTATCAATCTTAGTGGGTTGAGAGTAAAATCAAGGGAGATGAAACTTCAAGCATATGGGGGAAAATACAAAAATTAAAACACAATGAATGAGCCAGTGTCCTTGCTCTGAAGGATTTTTCTGCAAAATACACTGGTGAAGAGGTATCATTTTCAGATGAACTGACATTTTAGCCCATCAGTGCTGACAGCCTGCTCAACACAGGACTTGTTAGCCATCTGCTGCAGGCAAGGCAATGAACATGTAGTCCTAGGTAGTGGTAAGAAACCACAATTACAAGCACAGACAGACTGCCACAAACTTGGGGAAACAGAAATTGTTTTGACATGAACAACTTAGTCTCTCAAACAGTTCTAGTGCCTACACTCTACAGAAGACTCCTTACTTGGTCCAATCAATCCTACGGCTAAATAATGAACAACAGAAAACATACTTTAAAGCTAGGAAGGTCTATCTGCAGCTAACCTTGTACTTGTTAAATGTCCATCCTGAAATTCTTCCTGCCTTTATCCAGATCATCTTCATTCATCAAGAACTAAATGAAATGCCCCCTGTTCTTTAATTAGTTCTGTTTGTAGTAATTTATCTCTTCTCCAGATTCACTCATTCATTCAACAAATATTTATTGAACACTTACTATGTGCCAGGAATTGTAGTTGCTGTGAATACAATGGTGATCAAGACACACAAAGTCCCTGCCCTTACTACACTTAAAATCCTAGTGGAGAAGTCTAGGGCAACAACAACAAATACAAAGAGATATAGATAGATGTAGATGGAGATCAATAGATAGATAGAGATAGATAAATAATAGAGATGCAGTTATGTGACACACGACATTTTGGTCAATGAAAGAGCACATACAGTGTTCCCATAACATTATGATACCTTGTTTTTACTTTTCCATGTTTAGATATGTTTAGGTACATAAATACTTACCCATGTCTTACAGTAGCCTACGGTATTAAGTTCAGTAATATGGTGTGCAGGTTTGTAGCCTGGGAACAGAGCAATAGGCTATAACATATAGCCTAGGTGTATAATAGGCTATGCCATCTAGATTTGTGTGAATCCACTCTATGATGTTTCCACAATGGCAACACAGCTAATGATGCATTTCTCAGAATGTATCCCCATCATTAAGTAAGAGATAATGTCTGTACACACACACACACACACACACACACACACACACACACACACACAAAGACACACACATAGACTTGAGGAAATGTCAACCAAGGTAAGGAGAGTTGGTAACAGCCACTGTCTGTGTGACTCACTATCAATATAACACCTTGTATTCTGATTTAACTTTTAATTCGTGACTGTTTTGTAAGAGTCTTAAGGGAGAGATGTGCTATCTTCATATCCTCCGCAAAGCCTACCTCAGGTCTTACAGCAGGTTTTCAATAAACATTTGTTGCATTTCTACTAGATGAGATCCATTTGCCAGCATCATGGAGAGGGATTTTGATCTAATGTTGACTAATGGGCTGGCTTGAACCACACATAAAGATGAGACTCTTTGGGGATGGTTTGCAGCTGTCATAATGACAGATGCTAATTTAAGTCACAGAAATTTTGTTTTGAAATATGCATAGCTTTCATCTATGCAATACTTACTGTAACTACACTGTGCTGCTTCTTAAGATATAATACCTATGGTTTCTTTATTTTCTGGAATATCTCTGACTCCGTATATTTTTATTCTCTTCAAAATAAAGTTTGTAACTATATTAAACTCTAATTAGGCTGATGACTTGAATTTCATATTTAAGAATTCTGCTACATAAGTAAATCCATGATTCATGGGGGAAAAGCTCTAAGTAAAACAGTGTCTATGGATGCTCCTTTTCTGTAATGCCTTCAATTTACTTATGTAATAGAAATATGAATGGCATGTTGTTTATGCCGTTCTTTGCTCTATGAGTCAGTTACATTTTCCAGTAAGTCTATCTATTAAACATCTTTGAATGTCCATGACCACAGGACTGTCATGGGTGAAGGATGTAGGAATGCAGGCAACAATGAAACGCTGCACTTGCCCTGGAGTGTGGTGACCAGCTAGACACTTAATGTGCTAACTTTATCGGCAGCTTTCATTCCCCTCCAACTCATTGTGATTCAGAAAGCAGAGCATTCTTCCAGGATGACCCTCACACGTGGTTGTGGTAAATAGAATGTGTGATCTGAAGTCAAACAAATGGGATTCAAATCCTAATTCTGCCATTCCCTGGCCAGGTGACCTTGGACAAACTGTTCCATCTCTCTGAATCTGAGTTTCCTTGATGTAGAACTGTGGTGAGGATTAGATAATATGTGATATGTAAATGCCTATTAAATGCCTTGTGCATAGGAGGCTTTCATTATGTTGTCTCTGTTTTAACATTATTTTTTACTTATAACCACTTTGTGCCAACTATTGAATAGGAATTTGAATAAGATATCTTCTAAGAATTCAAGGATCTTACAGTTTACATCTAGATGAGGAAAGATAAACATAAGCAGACAATTCCAATGAATGAGTGAATAGAAAGTAATGAGTACACTGCTAGAAAGGTGCCCAGATTAGTTTGGGAACTTGAAGAAAGATTATTGAACTCATAGTGTATGAGGCCTTCCCACTGAATATTACATAGTAGGTCCTAAGGGGCACATTAAGGTAGAATGGGGAGAATGGAAGGGCAGTCCAGGTACAGGGAACAGGGTGAGCAAAAGCATGGAAGCAAGGCATAGAATGGTATGTACAGGGAGCTGCAAGCCCTTCAATCTTGCTGTCCACAAAGTCAAGAGAGTGGTGAGCATGGAAAGATGAGCTGGAAAGATAAGTGGGAAGCGGCTCAGGGGTTAACTCATGGAGCTATGTTATGGTAAGAATCCTGAATACCACCTGGTAGAAAATTGATAGAAAAATGCAAGTAAAGTATTTAAATAAAGAATTGGCATGGCTATATTTATTCAAGCTGGACTGTAGTGGCGCGATCACAGCTCCCTGAAGCCTCTGCCTCCCAGGTTCAAGGAATTGTCCTCCCTTAGCCTCCTGAGTAGCTAGGACTACAGGCATACACCACCACTCCCAGCTAAGTTTTGTATTCTTTTAGTAGAGAGAGGGTTTCACCATTTTGGCCAGGCTGATCCTGAACTCTTGAACTCAAGTGATCCACCCGCCTTAGCCTCCCAAAGTGTTGGGATTACAGGCGTGAGCCACCTTGCTCAGCTGACATGACTATATTTAAATACAATATATTGCATTGGTGGTTATGCAGCAAAGGGATTAGATGAAGATACAAGGAAGTGGAGAGACACAAAATTCTGAACTAGGGCATGGTGGTAGGGATGGATTCAAGAATCAAGAGGTAATTAGGGAGGCCTTAATATAGCGAGGAAGGGGTAAAGGAGAACCCATAATTTTCATCCTAGGTGGCTGAAATGCAATGAATTTAGAAAGTCCAGGGATATTGTGAGGTTTTTAAGCTCACCCAATTCCCTTGGATCCTGAAATACCCTACAATTGTAACAGTAGCTGGAATGGAGAGCGATAGTGAAAGCTGGAGACTTTCATGAAATAGAATGACCTTAGGGCTCTGTAGGCACCAGTGTACCACATACACCACGGTGTGGGATCAACCTCCTGAAAGTATGAGTTTTACACAGAGTAAATGCAGGCCTGTGTGAAGTGACATGGGGTGCTTGGGAACACTAATAAACACACACCCCAACTTTCCATCTGTAGTGTGCACACTATGGAGGAAGAATAGCTCCACTCAACAGCTCTGGAGGAATGGACTTGTACTGGGGGTATAGCCAGGGTTCAGGCAAGACCTAAGAGGAAAGCAATTTTCTCTGAAGGGAGCTTAAGAGTTTAGGGGGTTTGTTAGTAGTGGCACAAGATTTTCCCTCACACAGTCCTATCAATTCCCATACTGCCTTCAGTGGTGCCAATATTAAGTGCTCTCTAATTTATTATCCCTTCCCCTCTTAACAGAGTAGACTATTAACTGTTCTGACCTCTGCAGCCACGTGTTCCTCTTCACTGATGCAGCGACCAATGCCCATAATATACCTCTTTTCTGAGAAGTTTCAAGTACCTCAAAACTCATCATGGTGGATGAGCAGCTTTTAAACTCTTTGCTCCTGGAGACTTGATGTAGTCAAGATAGTGAGTGTCAAAGGGCTTTGGTCATGATTGAGTCTCCTCACGGGGTGTGGTACAACTACTGGGAACCTCAGGGATACATCTTACTGTTATTTAACTGGTACCTGAAGATGGGGTTTCTCAGTGCATACCCTCACTAAACAAGACCAAACTGGCTGAGTTTGTCTAAGGATTTCCATTACTTTGCAGCATTGCAACCAGCTTGCTAACAGTTCTGAACTTGTGACTTTAAAACACATTCTTACTGAGAATGTATGTGAATACTCTGACTCAGCTAATAAAATATTTACAGGGAGGGATACCTGTAGAAGCCATCAAGAGCTTATATAAATTGAGGGAGGAGTTGCATCCTTGACTATATATAAATTCAAAATGATAAACATATGTCCGTAAAACACATAGAATTCTCTTTATCCTCTCATGGTTGATAATGCTACCCTTTCTTTGTCAACTTACAAAGTCAACACTAACAAACATATCTACTGAAATGTGTTATTCAAATATAGAGGTTATTGAAACCACAGCAGTACAGGAACTAAAACTAGATTCATTTTATTCATTAAACCCTGCATTCAATTATACTGGGGAAATGGATGGGTTCACAACAATACTTTTAAGAAAACTCTTTCCAGATAGCATGTACAAGGACAAAGACAAATCCAAGGTTTTTACTTTAGCCTTATTCTTCTCACAAAATAACCTGACCATGATGTTCATGGTGTTGGTGCTTCCTCTTCTATCTTTGGAATCCCTTGTTGGCTGTTTCAAGAAAATAAAGAATTAACTTTAGGTACACAACTAAGAGACACCTTGACATGTCGCCTGGTTGGTGAAATTATTTTGAGAGTGGCCTTGCCAACCTTGTAAAATGTAAATGAAAAGCACACTAGCATCGACAGCAGACTATTTGTGGTATGAGCATAGGAAATTGCAGGATCAAAGAGACTGCTTGCTTTTCAGGAAGATTGGATTGGCACAGAACACCCTTTCTATGGGTAGGTTTCCTGGCTGCTTTTTGGAATCAATTTTAGGGCAAAAGCTTGCAAGGCTGGAGGCAGGAAATGGAGAAGATCTTGCATAACAGCAGTTTCAATGATATAGTCACTTTTTTGTAGAAAGTAAGAGAGAGGACACTAACAGTTTATTTAAACAGAATGACTCAAGTTGGGTTCTGTGAACAAGGATTTGACAGAGTCCATGCTAAGTACATTTGCAAACAGACATGAGGAAACTGCTTGCATCTTTGCTTTTGTCTTTCAGGGTTGAGATTTTCCTTTGCAAGTGCTGTGAGCACCCCTGGTGCCTGAACACAAGTTTGTGAATGCTCATACCCAATTGAGAATATGTTGACATTTATATTTCAATAACATTTGCAAGATTAATTTTGTTTTTTCCACTGCTGCTGTGTGCAATGCAAAGAGCTTTATGTCTGCCCAGAATAATCACGGTTTTTACAATCTGTAGTTATATCTATGGGCAACAGATTCAGGCTGGAATCTACAGTCAGGAGTTAGTAACTTGTAGGATTCAGCAACTAATAACCTTTGCAGACTTGAAAAGTCCCATTCAAAAATAAAAGTGTCTGTGACCTTTCAGTCCTAGCATGTAATTAAAAGTGACAGGTAATGAGTGTTTCCACACTGGCCAGCAAAACAGGGCTGGGTTGAAGGTGTTATCTAAGCTATGATTGTTATGGAATGAAGCACCAGTTCTCTTTACTTATCTAGAGTTAAATTTGTTTATTAAAGTTGAAGCCATACTTTTTTAAAAACATAAAGGACTAGGCTGGGCATGGTGACTCACACCTGAAATCCCAGCACTTTGGGAGGCTAAGGTGGGAGAACCACTTGAGCCCAAGAGGTGGAGGCTGCAGTGAGCCATGATCGTGCCACTGCACTTCAGCCTCAGTGATAGAGCAAGACCCTGTCTCAAAAAAGCAAAACAAAACAAAACCACTAAAGGACGAATTGGCCATTATCTTATTTAATTTTAATTAAAATCAACATTTATTAGTTATTTTCTATGTGCCAAGCAAACTGGAAGAGATATACAAATGATTTACGCTAAAATAGTATACCAACAGGATAATCCATGGGCCACTACAGTGAATACGAAAACAAAAGATTGTGTCTGATATTAAAAATAGAATTCCAATATTTTAGCTCTAAAAACTTTTCCTCAATGTATGTTTAAGAAAAATACTAAATACAATATTTTTATTTCTTTTTTTGAATGAGAAGGGCTCTGGTTTTGTTGCCCAGGCTAGTCTCAGCTACTTGCTAGTCTCTGTATGCCAGTGGTCTTCAAATTTTCTTACTTCTGTCTCCTAAAATAAGTATGAAAAACTAGACACCCCTGTACATATTTTTAGGCTATTACTTAAAATACGTCAATATTAGTTTAAGAAGTGGCAAAGACATAATTTCATTATATTATACATATACTTATAAATATCAAGTGTTCATTACATTTTTAAATAAAGGCAATAAATCTAAATACCATAGTGTTTTTATACCGATAATCATCTATTTAAAAGATACATGACTATATTGGTCCATTTTCACACTGCTATACAGATACTACCTGTGACTGGGTACTTTATAATTAAAAGATGTTTAATTGACTCACAGTTCTGCATGGCTGGGGAGGCCTCAGGAAACTTACGATCATGGTGGAAGGCAAAGGAGAAGCAAGCACCTTCTTTACAAAGGGGCAGGAAAGACAGAGTGAGAAGGGGGAAGCGTCAGACATTTATCAAACAACCAGATCTTGTGAGAACTCACTACCACAAGAACAGCAAGCGGGGAAATTCGGCCCCATGATTCATCACCACCAGGTCCCTCCCTTGACCTGTGGAGATTACAATTTGAGAGGAGATTTGGGTAGGGACACAGAGGCAAGCCATAACAATGACCATGCTCTTTGATGATTGGACATTTTCCCAATATTTGGCCTCTTTGTGAAGTTTTTTCATTCTACTTCCTTCACATAATTTTGCCCTAATGTAATATGATGTTATGCTTGGAAATATTTTATTGATAGCCCTATCATATTTCTCTGCTATAAATATATTTTGAAACTGAAAATTATAAGAAACAAGTTTTTTGTTTTGCAAACATGAAGCTATAAGTATTAAATTATTTTTCTTTATTGTGTTATTGTTACAATTATTAGTTATACATGGTTGATTAAATAAATGTAAGTATGTTTCAAATTTTGAAAAGTAATTATTGGGCAAAAAAAAGTAAAATGTTATTGGAAATCCACTTCTGAATGCAACATATTTCTTTCTCAGTTAGGTAAACTTGGATGAATATTATTTAATGGCGAAATGAAACAGGATTCAACATCAGTTCAATCCTTATTACCATCTTTTAATGCATATAAGTGCTGAGTAATCATCTGATGGAAACAAAGAGTTGTAAGTTACCAGATTTTGATCTCCTGAGTTAGATGCCAAAAATCACACAGTGATCTATCATCAACAATTATTTTTTCATGATCTTTCATCTGACAATTTTTAAAAGTCCTCCTTAAACAAAAAATAAGAAGAAATTGGGAAATCTGACATGAAAGTGAAACTAAAAGATGTACTTTTTATTTCTTGGGAACTATAGCAACTTGTAAAATATGTACAAAGACTCATCAAAGGATGTTTAATTCTTAATTAAATGCATTCTAGTCTTTTACTTAGAGGCACCTTATATGTACATTTTTTTAAATTAAGTGAAACTGAACTTTTACGTTTTAGGCTTTTTCCTATTTCCTGTGAACAAAGACCTATATCTTCTTGCCAAACTTCCATCTACTAGAATATATTAAGGCAACTTTAAAAGGGCATGGTAAATAGAGAGACAGACAGGCTTGATATTTAGATAGATAGATAGCCAGATAGACAGGTTCTTATTTTCATTTCATAGTATAAGATTGTTAAGTGTATAATTATGAATCTGACAGAATTGGAATTGCATATCAGTATCTGAGAGGGAGTCACTGATCCTATTTATATAAAGTTGGCTCTCCAAAATCCAGTGCATTACATGCTAGATTGCATTTAGGAAAAAGTATGTTCTATACTTAGAAATTAACATCAAAAAGTAGTAAAGGCAGGGCTTAAAAGTGGATATGGGCTAGGCGCGGTAGCTCACGCCTGTAATCCCAGCACTTTGGGAGGCTGAGGTGGGCAGATCGCCTGAGGTCAGGAGTTCGAGACCAGTCTGGCCAACATGGCAAAACTCCATCTCTACCAAAAAAAAAAAAAAATAGCAGGATATGGTGGCATGTGCCTATAATCCCAGCTACTCGGGAGGCTGAGGCAGGGGAATTGCTTGAACAAGGGAGGTGGAGGTTGTAGTGAGCTGAAATCACACCACTGCACTCCAGCCTGGGTGACAGAGCAAGACTCCATCAAAATAAAAAATAAAATAAAAGGATATGAGTGTTGTTAAATGCATTCTTTACAATAGAATCCACACATATTCAGATTAAATTAATTTATATCATATATGGAGAATATAGAAATAAAATGAATTTGCAGAAAAGAGGTTGAAGAATGACAGTGAGAAGAAGCCTTGTTCCCAATAAACGAAACTGGAAGGATATGGGTTTGTAATATCCAGTTATGGTTTGGTAGGTCATAATATTATTTCTTTTATAGGTCTAAACAAATGTGTAAGAAAAGCTACCCCTGATATGTTTCATTTTCACAAAAATGTCATGTTAATCTGTTGGAAGTAAGCACAGACATTTTTGCTTTCTCCTCCTTCAAATCATACAAAATTTGTAACTACATAAGTGTACTCTCTTGCTCTTTTTTCATTATTGAAAATGGTGAATGTACCAAGATAATGTGCTTCATAACTGGTTAACTATTCCCCAGCATCCTTGTTACAAATCTCAAATATTGTAAGGTAAGCTGGTACAGTGTGAGTATATCAGGATCCTGTCAAGAAAACAAAAAATGCATGAAGCATTTTAACATAAAATCTACTACAGGGACTTGTTTTTCCAGATGATGGAGTGTGAATGGGTAAAAGAGATCGCCAGAGTAACTGATGTACAACAGCAGGAGCAGCCGCTGTCTGAGGAAGAGGTTGGAATAATCACAGCCCAGAAGCTCAGAGAAAGAGCTGGGGCTCAGACCTCTGAAGAAGAGCATGACTATGCTGTTGCCATTACTTCTGAGAACATACCAACAGACTGGCTATCAGGTTTTCATAAGAGTCTGGAGACTGGAACCAACTGCTGCTGTCAGGCCAAGGTCACTGTTGGGACAATGCTGAGAGGAACAACAAAAACAAAAAGGGAAAAGAAAGCCCCTTCTCCACCCTCCTAGTCTCCCTCTAGCATCCCTGTTTCCAGCTGATGTGGTTTGGCTCTGTGTCCCCACCCAAATCTCATCTCATAGCTCCGATAATTCCCACCTGTTGTGGGAGGGGCCTGGTGGGAGATGATTGAATCACAGTGGTGGATATTTCCCATGCTGCTCTCATGATAGTGAATGGGTGTCATGAGATCTGATGGTTTCAAAAACAAGAGTTTCCCTGCACAAGGTCTCTTTGCCTGCTGCCATCCATGTAAGATGTGACTTACTCCTCCTTGTCTTCTGCTATTATTGTGGAACTGTAAGTCCAATCAACCTCTTTCTTTTGTAAATTGCCTAGTCTTGGGTATGGGTTTATCAGCAGCATGCAGACAGACTGATACATGAGACCCTTATAGGAAGCCAGTGGGCAAAGGAGAAAGAATACCATCCCAGACCCATGGAATACTGTATAGAAAGGAAGGTTAGCAGCTGAAAGGTAAAAAACTGCTCAGCATAAGGCTAGGCTTCAAGCCTGTCACCTGGATGCTAGTGGCTGCCTTCCCAACTAGCAAGCATGCACCCGTGTTTGTTTTCTTCCCACTATTGCATCCCGATGCCTGGAAAAGAGGCCAGCACTTAGTAGGCACTTAATAAATATTTGTTGAATGAATAAATGAAGAAATACAATCCAATCATAAGTCTCTCTGATTGCAAAGCCCATGATCTTAATTCTTTTCACTGATGCTACAACACCTACTGCCTTTGAGAGGGAATCAACCAAAGAAAATTGCTTCCTACTTTACAAGTTTGCCTGCAAGGGGCTTTGGCAGCCCATTTTATTAATGTCTCCAGTGCTACGAGAGTAAGCCAGCAAGAACTGATACGACATTGGCAGTGACTAATGACTCCAGTCTGCCTCTTTTCACAACACAGAAAGGAATTTTACCTGATGACCAAGTAGGCATAAAATCCTCACAAACAGACACAGTCCAGATTTTATTCTGTGCTAAAGTGGAACTGCAAAAACAAAATGATAACTGTTACAAGAATCTCAGGAACATTTCAGACATGCTTGTTTTCCAAAAAAGAACAATATATGTATATTACTATACTAAAACCTTTAAAAACTTAAGTGATACCAGTGGCAAATAAGAAGTCGTAAATAAGTCATGGCTTTCTTAAGCCCATGGATTTGCACCTAGCTCTTGACAATGTGTCTCCAACCTCTTTGCTGTCTTCGGTCACAAATCACTGCATAACAGGCACTCTCTGCTCTTTAAAACCCTGAGACACCAGTGCCATTTTCATTTGCATTTTTAAAAAGAGAAAGAATAAGAGGAAGTTTTGCAGATTAAAAAAAAACAGATAAATTCTTCACAACACTATGACAATCCAGTGGGGTGCATATGTTCTAGTTGCAAGCTGGTAAGCATTTACATTTTTGCTACCCGTCCCATTGGGCTCAAATAACCTTTCTCAATGGTGTCAGATGCATGGCAGAATACCAAGTCCCATGCCCACAAGGGGAGTAAGCAGGTCACTGACATTTTGGCTGCCTTTTGCCCAGCACAGAAATTTCAAGCTGCCTTACTTTTAGCAGCAGCTGGGCTTGTGTTCTATAAGACTGAGCAGAACTCAGCAGAATTTCTTTGGAAACTTGTGCCTGGCCCATTAAGACCTATTCTGACATCCTACACATTACTTCGATAGTTAAAGCCATGTAAGGATGTTGTGGATTCCTGTGGCTCCTTTTGGCAAAAGTTGAGTGTTAATAGAGTTTTGGTTTTGAATGTCATGTACTGATCCATTGTGTTTTCTGGAAAGACAAGCTGAGTTTTGCTTGATGCTTAGTTTGGAGAGGATAAAGCTTCCCTTTTCCCTCACTACTGGGGTTGTCTGAGTATACGCCCTGGAATTCTGATCCAGGCAAACGGGGTACTAGGTTATTTTATATTCAGTCACACTCACCTATGGTGGATTTTATGACAAATATAGTATTAAAGACAGAATTTAACTTGGAGAAATGAAGTGTTGGCATTGGAAATGGAAAAGCTTTGGTAGAGATTGTTTTTGCAACTCATGTAGTAATGTCAGACCAACATATGGCTTCAGATGTATGGTGTCTCCTCCTTGGGCCTCCCTCCCCCACCCTGTCTGTGGGGAAGGCCTTAGGGCACACAGTTCAGAACCAGGCTGCCTGAGCAAAGCTGACTTGTTAGATCAGAATGGCTAATGGACATGAGAACCACTGAGCCACCCAATGGCAATTTTTATCATTAGTCTCCCAATCCGACAACAGAAATCCTTTCTGTTTTGTCACCTCTTTATCATTGGCCTATGAGTCTGTCTCTGTTTCTTTTATTAATTTGTTTTTTCTTTTTTATTTTTTTGAGACTGAGTCTGGGACTGTCAGCCAGGCTGGAGTACAGTGGTGCAACCTCAGCTCACTGCAACTTCCTCCTTTTAGGTTCGGGTGATTCTCCTGCCTCAGCCTCCTGAGTAGCTTGAATTACAGGTACGTGCCACCAGGCCTGGCTAACTTTTGTATATTTAGTAGAGACAGGACTTCACCATGTTGACCAGGCTGGTCTCGAACTCCTGGCCTCAGGTGATCCACCCGCCTCAGCCTCCCAAAGTTCTGGGATTATAGGCGTGAGCCAGTGCCCAGCCTGTTTCTTTTATGATTTTTTTCCTTGCTTTGTTCTCTTCTATCAGAATCTTTGCTGTTTCATGCTTACCCCCATTGGTGGTGTTCAGAATTAAAAGATTATGGATCCCTAATTTAAAGCAATCTTTAAACTGTGGTCTGGTTTTCTATTGAGTGTTGGTGATTACAAGTGACAAAGACATTCTATAATGGTTCTATCATTGTAATTCATGGGACTTATGCGTTTAACTCTTTTACATAGCTGTAATCTTACCACTAAGAGCATTTTTTCCTTTATATCAATAGTTCTCAAAGTGTAGTCTAAGGAACCATAGAGGGCATAGAGATCCTTTCAGGGAGTCCGTGAGGTCAGCATCTAAAAAATAGTAATACTAATATGTTATTGACCTTTTTTACTTTCATTCTTGTTTAAAAAAAATTTAGCCAAGTTAAATTTAAAAGAATTTAATTGAGAAAGAACAATTCGTGAATTAGGCAGTCTCCCAACCCAGAGTAGGCTCAGAGACTTCAGCATAGGCACATGGCTGAAGAAGACTTATGATTTATGGACGAAAAAAGGAAAGTGACCTACAGAAAATGGACATGAGGTGCAGACACAGCTAGGTTGGTTACAACTCAGCATTTACCTCATTTTAACATAGTTTGGAAAGTTGGCCACATTTGATTGGCCCAACAGTAGGCCACAGTCTGTTTACAATTCCATTTAGGTGATAGTTCATCATGTGCAGAGAAAGCTTTAGGCCAAACTTAAAATATATAAGGAGGCAGCTTTAGGCTAAACCTGATTTAAAATTCTCTCACCTGTGTACAGTGAGGTTTTTCAGAAGTCACAGGATGTGCTATATCACAACAGACTGAATGAATGCAGAAGCGGAAATGAGAATCCAGCTGTCTTCTGACGTTAAGAAAATTAGTAAAAATGTAAAGCAATGCCATTATGTTCACTAATGTTTTTGTTTTAAAAATATGGTTAGTTTTTACAAAATTATGGTATTTCTATTAACATGTAATTGGTATATTAAGTTTATTATTGTTGGTTTAAATGAACCAGCCAATATGTTAAAAATACGTATGTTTTTCAATAGATCTAATCTACATAAAGAGAAACTCTCTGGGGTCTTCAATAGTATTTGAGTGTAGTCTTGGAACCAAAACAATTGAGAACCACTGTGTTAGATTATAGCCCGAGCAGTCAAGTATCAGCCTTTACATGAGTGTAAATTCTGTAAAGTGCGTACCTTCTAGGAGAGTTTTATTAGTTCAAATAAGCCCTGATAATATGAACTCCAAACTACATTGGGAATCTAACCACTGCTAACCACTCTCATTACCTATATTCTGGTCTACTTAGACTGAAGTTATTTTCCCCAAATCTGTTTTATTACATCCACTTGTATCCCACAATAATCCATTCTGAATATTGCAATCAGGACAACCTTTTAAAAATGAACTTCTTATCATGTCCATTGCTTGTCCAAATCCTCTACTGGTTTCCCACCATACTAAAAATAAACTATTGCGTAGCCTATAAGATCCCACATGATCCCACTCTGCTGGTCGCAACCTCCTCTCTGAGCATTCCTGCTGGTCACACTGGCGTTCTTGCTGTTCCACTCACGTTATTCCTTCTGCCTAGAGTGCTCCTTCCTCAGATATTTTCGTGGCTTCATTTACTCCTTTGTTGTCTCTGAGTTCTCACAAAATAGTACTCTACCTTCATCCTACCCCATCCTCCTCATCCTCTTATCCTTCTTTATGTCCCATTGCCATTTCACTGCCTGACATTATATTTCATATTATTTGTGTATTTTCAGTCTCTCTCACTAGAGTGAAATCTCCATGAGGGTAAAGACTGACAGTTCTACTTATCACAGTATATCCCAGTGCCCAGAACAGTGCTTGGTACTGAATAGATGCTCAGTGAATATTTATTGTGTAAGTGAGGCCTAAATGCCTCTAGAACTTTGTAGTCGTGTGCTAACTTAACATGTGCTATGTACTACTTAGCTCTAGACCAGGTACCAGAATATGGAGATGAATAAAACACAGCCCAAAGCCTATACAGTTAATGAAGTCAATCTTAGAAGAGAGGTCCAGGTAAGGTGAGAGAGGTACTAAAGATAAAAGGATTTATTTCAGTGGAGAGGTTCACAGAAAGCTTTGTGATAGAGGGAATAAGTGAAAATACTTAGTGATATTGACTTCAATGTTATCTTATCTGGGCTTTGCAAAATCTTTTCACTTTGTTGTAGTCTTAGCTGTAATTATTCAAAGCTTTTTGTCTTAAAACAATCAGAAGATTCTTTGGTTCATTCCTGCTATCAAGAGTCAGTTCTTTCAATAGGTACAGAAGCAAAGTAACCAATTTTTGCCAGAAAAAAAAATAATAATAAACAAGGACACGAAAAAGAAGAAGAAAAGGACAAGGTGAGTGGCGACTACTACAGCTCCCTGCTGTTGAGGTTTTTAGGCCTTGGACCCTAGATGCTCAGATGGTTTTTATCTTGTAAACAAACCAAGAAAGAATAAATTTCACAAGATCTGTCTAGTATCAGGAAGACCCACAAAATCCAATCAACATTTTACAGTAAACTTATAGAAAGCATCAGGTCAACGTGCTATGAAAATTCCCATGAACATAAAAAGATATGAAGATGAAGTATGTCAATGCACATGGCCCACCTCCACTTGTTGCTAAAATAAGAACCAAGGATTTGAAAGATTAATAAGAGTAGGACCTACAGTAAGAGGAGAGAGTATGGGAATGAGGGTGAGAAAAGAGAGGGAGGAAGGAAGAGAATGAAGCCTTTACTGAAACTCCCCAGTGTTTGGAAAAAATGTAAATATATAAATTTTTACAATAAATAGCCTCAAATACCACATACAGTCATGTCACCTCTAAATATTACATGACATTTTGGTACTATTTGCCTAAGAACAGAGATGAGCTGAGTCTAATGTCTCAGTGGTATTTCATAATGTAAATTTCACTGGCGCCCTTTTCCCCAATTTGTACGGATTTTCTTGTACTGCATACAAACCTCCCCAAGCTAGTCACAATCTTGATCTGTATCTCTAAGTCCTGTTTGAAAGTAAGCCTGTTAGGATATTTTAAGACTAGTAATATCTCACCAGACTTCCTCTAGTAGTCTCTTCATCAATTCCATCTAGTAGGGGCTGATTCCTAGATTACCTATCCTACCACAACAGAAATTAGTTATAACCAAACATTTCGTATGAGTGAACACTAGATTATGTTTAAACACTAGGTGATTCATCCATGTGTACTACCTGCCCTCTCTGAAATCTCACATACTACAATTTAAATTTTGTGCAGAGTGGCCATCCCTTGGTTGTTGACCTAGCCAGGGAGATCCATAATTTCTCTTGGTGCCTATGTGAAGGTCTGCCAAAATAATGAGTATATAATGAGGCTTTTAGCAGCAAGATTCATTAATCAAACTCAAACTAAAAACAAGGATAGGCATTGGTCCATGTACTAAAAAGTCCAGAAATAAAGTGTGCCTCAGCTTTACCAGGTGCCCAGCAATGTCATTAAGAACTTAGGTTCTTTTTCCGTGTATCTACTGTCCTCTCCACAGTAAATACACGGAAAAAGAACCTGAGTTCTGAATGACATTGCTCCTAAAGCTGGTTTTCTTCATGGACATAGGAGGGCTTCTGGTAGCAATCAGTACCACAACTGTTTTGTTCACATCCAGCAAGAGAGACAGTCACTTTCAGAAACTCTTAAGAGTAATAATATTATTTCCCAGAAGCCTCTAGCAAATCTCTCCTTGAGTCTCATTGCCCTGAACTTCTTGTTTTGGAAAAGAGGATAAGCTCACCCTGACTGGGGGTCAGCTCTCAAACCTTATGGCTGGCGTACAATGGGGAAAGTGAAATAGAGGTGACAATCATGGCGTCCACCACAGAGATTCTGTTGTCTTATACCAGTTCAGGGCAGTAATGATACTTCTTTTACAGTCTTAGCTATATAACTATCTATAATTCTCTTCAGTACCAAAAAGCAAAACAACTTTTGATTGATGAGCCTCCCTACTGCTGATCTGTAAACAGCCCCAGCTTCTTGTTTCATTTGTACCAGTTTATCTGGATTCACTATTGCTCTCCACCAATGCCCTCTTTACTTGTAAATAACTGAGTAAGAAGATATTCTCTAGTTCTTGTCTTAGAAAAGAGGCTGGATCTTCATTCAACCTTATGGCTATATGAAAGAAGGCATTAATTAATGTACTAAAGTTGACCAGCTACTGAAGTGACCATGACAGGTGGTGGTGTTGATTCTTCATCCTTCTGACCATGGGAACCTTCACTGACCTTGGTGCATGTGGAGGGGTCATGAAGTGACTCCAGGGGGTTAATACATGTTGGCACTTTAATGCTGAAACTGCAGTCATTTTCTTCTATCACAGCATGGTTTCAAATGGCAATTCATAATTCATGTTATCCTATTAGTATAGATTTGTACTTCAGCAGATATTTGCCATGTGGATCTACTTGGTTCATCCAAATACTTTAAAGCCTCTGACATGCTGAGGAAGAGCTGGACACAAGAGCATCTCCTTAGAGGCCTGAGATGGCATGGAAGCATTCCAAAGAAAATGCTCTGATGAGTAGAGATTTCCTTTAGAAGACCCCCCTCCAGGCACACTTGGGCATTGCTTGGATACACACAGATGCTTCCAACAGAAATCAACAAATCTAACAGGATTTCTAAGGGGCTTCCAGTCACAATGAGGAGTTCCTCCATGTCTGCTGGAATATTTGGCTTAAGACTTTGTAATTCTCTCCTTTTGGAGAAGGATGATGATTCTTTCAAATCTAATACTCACCCTCGTATGAACAGGGCATTTTATATAAGCTGTTTTCTTCTCCTGCTTTTTTTTTTTTCCCTAATACTAGGGACAATTAGTTTAAAATTCAATAAATCCCTTAGCTTGCACATTACCAGTATCCTCTTTTACCAAGAAAAGGGGAGAAGATGTTTACTTATATCCTAGCCATGGCTTCATCACGAAAAGAAGTTCCACTTTATATATATTTGGGTCTCTTAGGCTTTTGCAATACAGATTTTAGAGAATTGCTTTTTGGACATTCTTTGATCCAAATATTTGTTCAAGACACTGTAAACATGTGACTGGATACCAGGCCATGTTATTAAATATCAAGTGAATCATCACTGTAAACATCTCTGTGAAATCTCATGTACAGCAATTCGAAAGTACAGGATCCCAGGTGAACCATGATGCAGCCTTGGGGAAGATCCTGAATGATGGCTTTGCACTACACAAAGCCACAACTGGAAAGAAGTCAAGGAACATTTGCTTGTCATCCAGGCCTCCATTAATAAAACATAACTGGCCAAATTCCATAGAATATAGCTGCTTGCCTTTTGCAAGTTTAAAGTTCATTAGTAAAAATGAAAAAAGGCCTTCTTGGGACATAATTAGGAGCTGCAGAGAAATTTCTTTAAGTCAATGCCACTGTCCAAGATCATGGCAGTCATTCAGGATCTTTCTGTTTGCTAACAAATTTGTTAAAGATAATATAACCAAAGTTTCTGCACCATCAGCTGAAGTTACAATTTGCAAAATGTAGCCAAAGGGGGGATTAA